AGCGGGTAAGCTCCTGGGGAGCTGCACATACATCTCCAGTTTCCCCACTTCTAGCATAGCACATAATGTGTGACACCTAATACACACACAGCGACTCTAGTCTATTGAACTCAAATGATAATCTGAGTGAGTAACGATAAAGACAATAGCTGCTGACACCTACAGCACTTAGTATGTGCCAGGCCCTATTCTAAATATTACACTAGCTAAGCCATTGGGTCCTTAGACACCTTGTGGGCTGGTTCTGTCATTTAGCCCCAGAGTGGAGTGACAAGGCCCTGCACTCTGGGGAAGTGGCTGGAGCTGCTACCCTGCGTGTCTGCAACTGCAGGGCCAGTGGATGAAGGGAAGCGAGGCAGGCTCTCTCCCTTGTCACAGGGCCACACTTTTTTCCTTCTGTTCCCTTCAACCTCTGTGGATGACCTCCAAAGCATGTAATTGGAAACAAATAAACTGGCCTTGGGCCACCTGTGCATCCTGGAGCTTAAGGACCCTTCTAGAGGACCTGGAATTAAACCTGGAAAGCTCCCGGGATGGGGAGCCCCTGGAGGCTGGAGTGGCACTTGGTGAAATATTTTGTAAGTAGGTCACAGAAAAGAAAGTGAAGCCAAGGGTTTCCTCCCACAGTGCGTTAGAAGAAAAAGTCTGTGTGACATCCTAGCCAGAGCCAGAGCCAGGCTGGGCACCTGCTGCAGATTTCCAGGATGTGTCCCTGTGAGCTTTGGGCTGGGTGGCAGTGCCACAGCAGTAGATTTAACCCACCCTCTGGCTTTTATGCAGGGCACACACTGACAGACTGACGGTCATTTCCCTGGTCATCTGTATGACCTCAGCTGTTGCCTGAGCTTTTACACACGAGGGCTTTATGCTTCATTTAATTTACAACCCCTCTGAGGTGGAGTTATTTGGTGACTTTGTGAGTTCTTTTTTTTTGTGCATTGGGCTGGTTTCTATGTAGATGCTCCTGGAAGAGAGTTCGGGAAGACAATTCAGGAGAATAAAATCGAGTTGGGAATTAGGAAGCAAAATTATCTTCCCTGTCTGGAGACAGGGGTCCCTTGCCCCCTCTCAGGAACCAGAAAAGAAAGTTGATTAGTGTTGCTTAAATGCATTGCAATTACCTCCTCGAGTTTTCGTACACTCTGGGGTTTAGGCTAGTCTATAAATCTTAGTCCCAGGTTAGTTGTAAAACCTTGATTTATCCTTCCGTATAGGTGTGCTAACACATTCATCAGCTTGAATTATTTAGAGTTATCATGAAAAGGATCTGATTTCTATTGCCTTCCTGATTTGCACTTTAAATATAGTTCCCTGTCTCCAGAATTCATGTTGAAAATAGAAAGAGAAAATTACTTTTAAGCAGTGGTTTGGCATATAACAGCATGATTTACCTTAGAGTGTTTCTCCAATTGCTTGTTAAGGCACTCAGACCAAGTTTGTAAGAATCTGAATCTGGAAATTACCATGAAACCAACACCAAACATGGAGCCCCAGGTGGCCACTGCTGTTTGCTCCTTTGATCTGGGTCCCTGAATTGGGGGACTCTTCCTCCCTCCCTCTGTCCCCCATTGGATAGCCCAGGCCCACGTGGGTTTTCAATTCTCAGTGTGAACTCCCCCCCTTTTTCTTTTAGCACTGGGGAGACTTTAATTTTTGAGAAAAATTAAGCCCATCATATACATAAGAAATATATGACATTTCCTGCAGGCTTGAAATTAACAATTCAGCTTTTGTGACAACTTATAGAATGAGAATTACCTATAAATACAGCCTACTTACAGTTCTCATGCATCCTAATCTTATACTGTGATTTATACAGCTTCTCTTTATATTTTATATATCCCACCATGCTCACTTGATTAATATACCCTAAATCTGTGCCGCTTTGGGATTTAGAAATTTAAAGAGAGAGAGAAAGCAAGCACAATGACCTATCTCATCTTGCTTTATGAAAATGAAAACATTTATGTAATGAACTAATTTAAGAAATTGAGGACTTACACACTTTAGTAGCTAGGACTAAACATAAGCAATACAAAATTGAATAAATCGTGTTAGAGTTGTGGAAAGGAAAGAGATAAGTTCTTCCTTGCAATTTTTTTTTTCTCATTTTCCTCATTTATTTGCACCATTTCTACTTCATTTCCATGAAACCGGGATGTTGTTGGTAGGAATTCTGCAAATGATTCATTATTTTAAGATTAGATTTATTAGTGGCAGAGCCTATTCTGTACCTTCAGAATACATTTAGGTCCTTGATGATTTCTTTTGTTTGATGGAGATTTTGTAAATGTAACAATAAAACCAATTGGCACTTTAAAAATACATATTTAAAAAAATATTCTTCTAACGAGGATTATCTTGCCATATGATGGGTTCTTAGGAAAGCACTGATGGATTTCTTATGTCATTGCTTTAAATATTATATAATTTGTATCTATCATGAGACAAGGGAGTTTATAATTTCACAGCAGAATGATAGGGAGAAATGACAGATTTTTTTTTTTAAAGATTTTTAAACTCTACATCTGTGTATTTTGGATGGAACTAGAATCTAGTTTAACATTAGCTCAGTTAAGCCTTGCCTGAATGAAGGAGTGGTGTCTTGATTTCAACAAACAGGATTGCTGGAACTTGCTTGATTTATTAGCAGTATCTTTCCTCTGGGTAATTCCCACTTTAAACATTTCGTTGTCAAATGATATTTGCTGCTTACTTATGAAAGGCGACATGTGAGTAATTTTCAGTGCTTGAGAGGCACCTTTCCCACACCTGGCTCTACATTCCGAGGGCCAGGGGCTTTCTTGTGGACACGTGCTTCCTTGTCTGACCTTGCAAAGAAGTCAGGTGAAAGTCAACGCTGGTTATTAGATGATGTCTCCAAAGCTGTTAAATTGAGAAAGCAATTTTACTTCCTTAAGGAGGAAATTCTAACCCCTAGATCTTTGTCCATGTTTGGAGTAGGAGTGGATTGGGGTGAGGAAGACATAGTTTTTGAATTATAGTCATGTATTAGTCTGGTCATACTAATTTAAATTTTTATAATTCTCAGAATGCTCTGTTTTCCGAAATTCTGTGGCACTAAGGTTACAACAACCTTAGTTGTAACCTCCCTGGAAGATGCTTCTCATTTATTTATTCATTTTTGGTGCCGGGGATCCATCCCAGGGCCTTGCACAAAGGAAGCACATGCTCTATCGCTGAGCTATATGCCCCCAGCTCCTGATGTTTCTTAAATAATTATATTTCGGTATCTTCTTAGGGGATTTAAGTGTGCAGAGTACACTAAATGCAAATGGAATAAAACAAAACAAAAATATTAATTATGCTGAAACAGAATTTAAATGGCATTTGGGGTTACATCTTGCCTCTGTTCTTAGATCTTGATGGATAAATATTTGGATTTTGCTTTTCCTCTGTGTGTGCACACACCTGTGAGCATGCATCAGTGAGAGCATGGATCAGACCCTGGTAAAAAATAAGCACAGGGTTAGGGGGTGGACCATGAAACTCCTTCCTTCTACTGAGTAGGTGCTACTGTTTTAGGAGTAGGCAGCCCTTGAGTGATATGAACCCAGGACTATAATGAAGACTTGTATTCTTTCATCCAAAATTATTGAGCTGCTTCTATGTTCTAGCTGTGCTCTTGGTGTGTGGGGCAAATAGTCCGTAAAACTATTTCTGGATAAGTAAACTGATGTATAAGTTGAAAAGACATTTGATAATTCTCTGATGAAAAGAGTGAGGGGATGAGGAGGGTGTGGAGTTGGGGATTTATTGTTTTAGACGAGGAGGTCTCAGAGAGGCCTCCTGTTCTATCTGCTCGTATCTAAATTCCACACGCAGAGGTTCATTTGGCTTGCATTTCAATTTTGCCCTGCCTTTTGAAATGTCATTCTGGAACTAGAAATGATTAAACCATGTTATTCATTTGCTCTTTAGTGTGAGTATGTTTTAGATTATTTCCTTTGCGCAAATGTTAATGGGGAATTTGAGGCAATGGATGTCTGGGGGCAAGGAGGTATTAGGTGGAAGGGAGACCCCACTCCCCTCTGAGTGGGGTCTCCCTGCCCTCAGGCTGCTCTACCTCTGACACTTCTTGGACTACATCACTGCTCCATGGTATCGCTGCTCTGATTCTTTAAGTGCATTCCTGCACCTTGGCATTGCCCATTCTCCCTGGGAATGCTGACTGGAGAAAGCTAAGGCTTTGCAATGCTTGCCGCTGGGCTCTTCAGGAAAAGTGCACTGTACAATGAAGGTATTATTTTTTTGTTCATTAACCTTCTTGACTGTTTGGATTATCATTTTGCTTTATATTTTTAATGCAGAGCCCAAGTGTGTCTCTAGGGAGATCTTTGTCTATTTATGGGCTCTGACTCAAAACATTAAATCATTCTGAATGGGGAGTGATTTTAATTCTCCTCACTCCTGCCCTGTGGCTTTAGTGGGTTCTCTACACTCTCCTTGCCCACTAACAGCGGCATCTGTGTTACACTTCTAACCCTGCAGCACTCCTACCCCCACCCCCCAAAAACAAAACAAAAACTCCAAAATTAGTTCTGTTGCCTGCCAGGCTCTGGTAGTGATGGCAAGGGTGGGAATTTGTACTTCCCCCTGGATTCTCAGGAATTTGCCTTTGCTTGTGAAGGCACCAGAATCAAGGTTTCTAAGAAATATTTTGTATACATATTGTGTGTGTGTGTGTGTTTGTGTGTGGTTTATGAACACAAATGGCATACACAGATTTTAATTTCTTTGATGTTGTATTTCTTTTCCTTGGTAGTGCAAGCAGGTTGACTTCACATCAATGAATAATTCTAGGTCTGAGATGAAAAAAAGCCAACAATACTACTTTGCAGAGATGCAGCTGCTTAAAAATGAGCAAAATGTATCTTGTGAAAGTCTCTTTTTTCCCCTCATTATAAACAAAACTATTGAATGTGAGAGTAAACCTAGATTGCTATTTTAATTTTAAAATATTCCTTTTTTTTTTTCAGCTTTTGCTTCGATGTCAGAAGATGTAAAGAAAGAGGTCAAGGTACTGATTCTAATGTTCTTGTCTGCCCCTCATCTCAGAGACTCTTTTATATTTAATGGGAACTGTAAAGATTTTGTCCTTAAGTAGTTGATGTATTTCTTTTGTTGTACAAATTAATGTGATGTTGACTCACATAGATTTGAAACCCTAACAGCAGCCTACAGGTAGACTTGCTTAAAAAAAAATCATTTCATAGTCATAGTAGATCCATTAGGTTTTGAAATCATTTTAGGATCAAAGTTATTTGGCATGGGCAGTAGACGTTTTAGAAGTCTTGCTTGAGCACCAGTTTTCTCCAGTCTTACTCTATCCTAACATTGTACTTAGTATTTTTCAGTCTGTGAAAGGATTTTGCTTTGTAAATCCATGCATATCATTTCTTCATGATAGTTTAGTGAACATTTTTCTGGTCTGAAAAAAAAAAGTTAGCACATTAGTTGTTATTGATTAGAACATTAGTACATTAGACTGTCAAGAGCCTGATTACTGTTACCTTGAAGGTGGGAGGGGATGCTGGGTTTTAGACCCCAAAGGCAACCAAGCTGCCATAATCTTTGCATGCTCAGAATCAAAAACCAGACTGGGGGACCAGCAGAGAGGGGGCAACAAATCTCAGAGCTGCTTTGCTTTGATCATTGGTTGTGTTCAAGAACCTCGTCTAAATGTTTACCGTTTGCACTTTGCAAGGGACCAATTTAGCACACGAGAAAGAGAAGAAGCAGTTCAAAACAATTTGTTTTTGTCATATTAATTATGGTTTTGTTGAGTCTGACTTACCCCACAATTTGTATAAATGTGTTTTATCGAGAGTACTATCTCGTCTAACTATACTGTGAGGTTCTGCCATAGGGGAACTGATAACAGTAATGTCTTATGATTTTAAAACTCTTTATGGCTAATAAAGCATCTTCACACATTTCATTTAATTTGATCTTCTCAATGATTCTGTTATTACAAAGTAAATATTTCCAGATATAACAGAGAAAATAAAGCCTTAGAGAAGTTAAATGATTTTTACGAAGGTCACGTGATTATTAAGAAATGAAGTTAAGTTTCTGAATCCTTGAATTTTTCACCCCTTACTATTTTATGTTATGTAGTCCTGTGCATTCTAATATGTATTTGGCAATTCTGAGGTTATTTAATGACAAATTTACTATAATTTGCCATATAATCATTGCAGATTTTACAACGATTTATTTTTTCATAAAAAAGTGAGTTGTGACCATTATGTGAAGCTTTTCTTTCTTTTTTTTAATGTGCTGGTGTTACTTAAAAATAATTTATTACAAAACTCCCCTTTGTATAAGATTAGGATGCACGGAATACTTATGGATAAATAATAACAAAATTGCATAGTCCAAATCCATGCATATAATTTCTTCATGATTGTTTAGTGAACATTTTTCTGGTCTGAAAAAAAAGTTAACACATTAGTTGTTATTGATTAGTACATTATAGCTGAAATATTACACTTGAGAAAATTTAGTATAGTGTTACAAATTGTGGACTTCGAAAATTTAATCTTCCGTGTCTGAAGATTTGCACCACTATTTTCTTATCTCATATTAGACCTGTGTACTGTTAGTACTGCAACACTCTAAAGCCATGCAAGTGGCCTTTTTCTAATGTTTTGACGATGTGCTCATGCTGAGCATTCTAGGCAGTGGGTGAGAAGACAAATGTGCATCCATGTGCCACTGTGAATACATCTCTGCTCTGTTCACCTTTTAGTGGGTGAGGAACAGAAGTAGACCATGCAATGATTATATGGTGAAAGGGTATAAACCAATTTTTTGATTAAAAAACAGGAGTGTTATGGTTATACAGTGGAGACGATTATGTGGGGAAATATGGTAAAGTGCTATCTAATGATTATTAATAGGGAATTAAAGTTTTGTTTAATAAATTTAGAAATTATAGGGCAGTCTTTTAAATATAAGTTTAAGGTATTTTTTCAAATATTATAAATGTATATATTGCTTTAAGTATATATGTAAATATAAATAAAGATAAACAAGTCCTATATTTTAATGTCATCTTTCGTTCAAAGGTATTGATGCACTTGAAAGATGTCATTAATTGCACCTATGCATCGGCTTCCCAGCCAAAATAGCTGTTATTCCCATGAGCAGAGACTATGATAACATGTCTATGCTATAATCAATACACCTGAAACTGGTAGATGGAGAAAAATTAGTTTGTACAATGTTGTCCAAAATCTGTAGTTGAACCTGGAGATAAAATTTAAGGCTCTGAATATTGACCACTTGAATTTTGTTGTCATTAATTTGTCACCCAAGCAGGACTGATGGAGATCTTTCCCGCCACTGTGGCCCAAGGCAGCTGCCTCCAGTTCACCTCACCTCATGCTTGCCTTAGTCAGAGGCCCCATGTTAGACTTTTTGTCCCATGCAGGCCATCCTAGTTGGGCTGGGTTTCTGCCCCCAAGCAATATGTACTCTCACTAGTGGTATTGGGTTTGGCTCCCTATCAAAATCCTGAGAGCTGCCGGTGACCTCATGTACATTTGTGGCCCGACCTCTGGGCTCTCTCCTCTGTCAGGTTCCTAATGCCTGAACCACCTTGGAGTCTGACCTATGGACAGTTTCAGGGAAGCCTGCCCACTCCAGGCTGTAGGTGCTGCCTCAGTTGTGACTGTCCACCTGCCTTCAGACTGCGCTGTTGTAGCCTGTGGTGGCAGGTGTCTTTGCATCCTGTGTGGTGTGAGGTTAATTGTGTACACTCGAGGCAAAGTGCCATCATCTCTTCTTCACCACATTGTGGGACTTAGCCTCCCTGTTTCTCAGCTTCCTCATCTCTAAGATGGGGTAAGAGGATCTACTTCAAAGGGCTGTTGTGAAGGTGTGTGTGAGTGTGTGTGTGTGTGTGTGTAACTCAGAATAGTACAGGTCCTAATTGTTTACCTAATAACACGAAATGTCTTATGCAACCTTTCAAGGGGTTGCTTAAATAATCTCTTCTGCCTAGGCAAGTCAAAGCAACAAAGTAAAAGACCTGATTACTTTCACTAGTTAAATTTCTTTTTGTGGTAGCAGTTGAAGTCATATGAAATAGATGATGATGATTACAAGAATTGGAGCCAGATGAGAAACTGAGGCCTGACCCAGTAATTGGTGGAGGCAGAATTAGAGAACAGGACCAGCTTACAACTGGGTGCAATACTGAGAACACATCTGGAATAATTTACTTAAAATCTAGAGGGGGGTGGTGAGGATAGGGTTGGAAGATGGCATTTTATTTCCCTTTCATCATCAAAAATTACATACCAAATATTTTGAGCATGTTATACTTTGTTTTTGTGAAGAAGTTACAAATTAAGCATTGCATATTTCGATTGCATGTATTCAAATCTATTGTGGCTTAAAAACATCAAACCCATGTAAAAGAGTGACACGGGTGTCTGTTCCTGGCTAGGGTGGGAGCTGTTGGCAGAGTAAATGCATTAATAACCAATGTCTTTCCTATCTGAATGGTAGTTCAGTTGACTTATACAACCTTGACTGTGAGCACATTCTGATTAATATTGATAGTCAGTATAAGAAATGTGGCAGCAGAGATAATAAAACAAGCCATGTGTTTCTTTCTTCTTAGAAAGAACTAAGACTATTCACGAGGGGCGCTGAAGACAGAATTTTAAATGTTCTGTCAGTTTGTTCATTTACTCTCATTTTCTATCTCAAAGGGGAGATGACTCAAGACCATTCTGGTTCCATTTCAGTTCACCTAATGCAACCGTTCCTCGGGTGTTTTATTTTAACAGTTTACAGATTGAGTCATTTGAAATAGCTAATCATTTCCTAGCTATTGTGACAGCCCATCTGAGCTACAGTGCTCAATAACAACTAGAGATACATAATTTGGGTTCCTGTTCTTAGGTTTCACAAAGCTATCTGGTGGAAAGTTCAGCTGGTGCCCCAATTTGTTGAAGTTGGTCTGGAAGCACTGTGTTCTGCTATTTTTTTTTTTTTTTTGTCTTTCAATGTGTTGTTAAAGGTGACTTCTGTTGTAGATGTTAGTTTTAGCTTACTCTCAAAATAGGTTCATATCTAAAGGACGCCTCTGGGCAAGGCTGTGCGTGCATGGTGGTGTGAGGAAGGGGCATTACAGAGGGCTTAACTTTCATCCGGGTTTTGTGGCTAGTGACTTGGGCCCTGGAAAATTCCTTTATCTTCCTTATGATAAAGGATTGTCTTGTTGGTGAAAGGGCTGTGCTGGATTTAATCAGCTCCAGTGCTCTTTCTAGATGGTAACATTGGACCTTTCTGTGAGCTTTATCTGGCAGCCAAATTTGTGGCCTTGCAAGGAACAGGCAGCTTTGGTTCAAGGGCAAGCCTAAGGTTAATGGTGGGAAGCAGTGATGCCCTGAGCCAAGGTCAGTGCTCCCAGCCCCCAACAGCAGGTGGTTCTGATCAGGTGTGGCATTTAGGATGGATTTCGTGCAGGGAGTCTATTATCACTTACTTAAGATCTAACCTGGCTTTGGCTCCCTACATTTAGAGATGTAGGTTAAACTCTCTGGGCTTTTTAAGTGGGTTCTTCCAAAAGCCTCTTTTATCAGGATTAAGTGACATTAGATCCTGAGATCTAACAAATAAGCACCTAACTGTGAATTCTTCCCTGGCTCAGTGGCATTTCTAGTCTTGAGACAAAGATAATTTTGTAAAATGCCATGTGAAGTTGTCATTCCCCTGCGTTTAGCTCTCCCTCCTCCCTGCCTATTGTCCCTGCCTCTTTGGCATTCTTAAAGGACACACTGCTTTGTGGCTGTATCTTGGCTTTTAAGCTGCTCCTGGTTTTGATGGCAGAGGCTCACAATCAATCCTTAGTGCAGTGTGTGAAGGAAATTGAGGGATATTTGCCACCATCCAGGTAATTACAGCATGTGGCTGTTGAGAGTGGAAAGGGCAATTAAGAAGAAAACGCCTTTTCAGTCTGTGGAGGAGATAACAGAAATGGCAGATTCAGCTGCTGATTCCTTGTAGTTTGTCAAAGAATCTCTTTGAGAGTTCCTCCTTGAATCGCATAGGGTCAGAACCAGGTATGTCTGTGGCAGCATCCAGATTTCTGTGTCTGGAGATTGCCAGCTCCGAAGTTCCTCTTTTATACTTGTGACTGTGTGTGGTACTATCTTGACAAAATACCTGAGACTGGTCATTTGTAAAGAACTAAGGTTTATTTCTCACAGTTCTGGAGGCTTTGAAGTCCAAGGTGGGGGCATCCAGTGAGGGCTTTTTTTGCTAGAGTCATCCCATGGTGGAAGGCAGCAGGGCAAGAGAGCATGTGTGAGAGCAAAGGACTGAACCAGGATTTATAACAACTCACTCTTAATGACATGAACCCACACTAATGACATGAACCCATTTGTGAGGGCTGAGCCCTAATCACCTATTAAGGGTTCCATCTCCCAACACTGTTGCACTGAGGATGAAGTTTTCAACATGTGCTTTTGGGGGAGCATATTCAAGCCATAGCCACTACTACCAGCTGACCTCCTCTGCTGCCCTGTGTAGGCCCCTAGGGCTGCTTTGCAGGAAGCAGAGAAGGTGGTGGGAACCCTCCTGGTGACAGTAGGTCCAAATTCCCAAAGAGCACTTTTTCATGAGGAATACCCTGCCAGTAAGGGGACTGTCTCTAATCGGTTTGTGATGCTTTAGAGTTGACAAGGTTTCTAAAATTAACTTTCAAAGAACATCATCCTACACAGGAGGAAAGAGCTTCAGCTCAATTAAGCGATTTGCCCAGGATCATGTAAGAGAAGCGCAGTTCTGATTCAGCACTTCTGGGTGAGGCGGAAGTACTCCGATGCTGCTTTCCCACCTTATGTTGTGGTCTTCTTTCTTTAGGAAAGTGTTTCCAAGCTTCTATCTTCAAGTCTTCCCCCTAAGTGTTAATATGTACCATACATATTTATCCATAGATTGCTAGCTCTTGTTATTCGATGAGATTTATCATTTTCTCTTTTATTTTAAACATAGGATTTGAAGAAAAGTGGGATATCAAGAAAAAATGGCATAGGTAAGTGATCTTTTTTTTTTTAACCTAAGAGTGTATGTAGGTAAATTTTTGTACATTATATTTCATAAAGTAGATTTTTTTTCTGTTTTTACTTATGGGATAAATTTTATTGTTCAAATACTCTTTCCTATTATGCAGAGGTGGGGAGAATGCTTTTCAGACTGGCATATTGGCATATGATAGGTGCTAGAGGTAACAATTAAAGTCTTAGATTTAATTCCCTCAGCCATCACTCACTGAGCTTTCATGAGGGTATAGCATCATGCCTGGTGGGTGCTGAGGGGGGTGCAGAGCAGGACAAGACATAGTCTCTGTTATTAGGGGCTGTGTTAGTTCATTTTCTGTTGCTGTAACAAAATACCTGAGGATGAGTATTTATGGATAAAAAATCTTTATTTAGTTCATAGTTCTGGAGGCCAAAAGTCCCAGTACATGAGGTTCCATTTGTTCTGACTCTGGTGAGGGCCCCCCTTGGCTGCATCAGATCATGGCAGATGGTATCATGGCAGGGATGAGTGGGAGAAGCAAATGTCACATGGCAAGATAGAAAGCCAGAAAGTTTCAGAAGTTGGGCTCACTCTTTTATAGCAGCTCATTCTCAGAGGAATTAACTGGGCCCTCAGGAGAGCTACATTGATCTCTTCTGAGGGCAGCACCCCAATGACATAACCACCTCCCATTAGGCTCCACCTCTGAAAGATCTTACCACTTTACAGCCCTGCCTCTCTGGGGACCAAGCCTCCAGATCATGAGCCTTTGAGGGACACATTCAAAAGATATCCACACCATAGCAGAGACTCGTACTTAGTGGGAAAAGAGGACCAGCTGTGGCCTTTGCTCATGCTGTGTTCTTCTAGAGCCGGGCTCCGTCCTTGACTGGTGGATGGCTGTGTGCCCTTTAGGGTCAGTTCAGTCACATCCTCAGACTCATCTGAGGGACTCTGGCCCGAAAGTTGCTCCTCCCTCCTTTGTGACACACCGCCCTTCTCTCACAGCCCATCTAAGCCGTTGTTGGTACCTCCCATCCCAGCATGTTGCAATTATCCTTAGGGATGCGACCATAAGTTAGTCACCTGTTAATGTCATCTCGTGTGCGGACAGAGGGCAAGGCTGCACCTCTGGAAGTTGGAGTGGGCCTGACCTCCAGGAGTGTGAATTTTGTCCTTGTCCTTCATCCCAGGGTAGGCCATGAAGATCTGGAAGACAAGCTTTGGATAACAAGGAGAGGGAACGCTCTCCTTTCTAGGCCTTTCCTTCCTGAGCCTGGATTCGGAGGATGCAGAAGAGCAGGAAGCTACCTCCCCACCCCTGCACATGGAAGGGGAGGTGCATCTGGGGCCTATGGGGGCAAGGTTCAGGGTCTGTGGGCTCTGAGAGTAGCTGCATTTAAGGGGCCATGTCTGTTCATTGTTTTTTCTTCTGTTACAACATTCCCTTTGGTTCAGCTGCTCCTTCCCATGAGGAAATTTCTCTCTGCTGCCCCCACTGGTGGTTTTGGATATTTGTAGGTTTATTTCATGGGAGCTGTTGGGTCTCCTCATAGTGCTTGTGTTTAGAGACCTGAGTCTGCAACATGAGCTTGAAACTACCCAGGGGAAGTTACCTTGGACAAGTAAATTGACAATCTTACAACTGCAAACTGCAAATCATGGTGATACCCAACTTGGTATCAGTTCATCTGAAAAAGACCCAGGGGGCTTCTTTCTCCCAAGTTTTCCTGTGCACCTATAGGAATAGGAGGCTACTAAAAAGCAATACTGTGATAGTCATGGTGTCATCAGAAAATCCAGAGTGCCTCAACTCTAGGCTCACAATACTCAGAGCAGGTTACAGCCTTCATACACCAGTTGGTCATTTTTCCTCTTTTGGCTCACTGCCTAATCAGTCGACTCACTAGTGTGCAATTGCTCTTGCTAAGGAAGACACACTTGGAGTAGTTCTTCCTGTGTATGGGTGTGTATGTCTGTATGCACGTTACCCCTCAGTTATAGATCATAAGGCTACTTGTTAGTCACCTTTTTCAGAAGAAACTGTATTGATTTCTCATCAGAAAAGCACCAGTATGATGAAATCCATTCTACGGGGTCATTTCTGAGTGCTTGGCCCCTCTCCAATGGGTGCTCAGCCACAGATGAAGTTGTTTCTCTTCCAAGCATCCTTTTCTAACTTTACCCTTGGCCCTGTTGCCTTTCCTGAATTTTCTCTGCAGCCCACTGTTAGCTGCAGTATCTCCTTGGTCCTTTCCGTATCCTTGACTAAATCTTTATCTTCCCCTTCTTCTAGCCTGTCACATTGATAGCCATTATCAGGCACTTAACATGCAGCCCATTTATTGCACATTGTTGGAGGAGAAATGATGGCAGTCTGTCACGGATTGTGCCAGTGTTTGCTGAAGGCGAGTTGCAGTGAGTTCAGAGAAGTGCCACCAAGATGCAAAGGAAATAGTACAATCGTCTTATTCAGCTGTGTCCAGTGGGCAGTGGGAACCTGAGAGTCCGGCGGCTGAATGGCATCAACAGAGAAAATGGCTGCCCAGATGAACTCTGGGACCTGGACTTGGCCAGAATGTGATTCGGTTGAGGGAGGGACTAGTTTGTATGTCAGAAAATGGTTCTTGGTGCTGATGTAAAGAACTGCTGGGATTTAAGCATGTAAGCTGTTTTTTAGCACTAACTAAACTCTACCAGCCTGATTATTCCCTGGAGTGGGTTGGGGCTGAAGAGCATGTTAGTGATCTTCTGTTATTCATGAATGTCAGGTGCCCCCTTCCTCTTTAGCCTTGGCCCTGAAATAACTCTCCAACATGCATCCTATTTCTTAGCCAGTTCCAACTGTTAATATTTTCAGAGTCCTAAATTCAACTCTCTGTTCCAAGCCTTCCCCACTCTCTCTGCAGGGAAGGTCTCCCCCCATCCCTTCTTTTTGTGCCTGTCCCCAGGACATAGTGGCCTCATTCCCTCCTATCTGCAGACCCTGCTGCCTGCGGCCACACTTAGCTCCTAAGACCCTAGCCAGTTTAAAGGCAGTTCATTTGCATTCCAAGCCTCATAGCACAGAATATAAGTCCTTCGTGATCTGGTGGGGCTGAGTCTGACTCTCTCTCTAACTTTATCACCCACAGTGTTTCTCATTCTTTTTTTCAGAGGGCCTGCCAGATTCTCTGGGTAGGTACTCAGGAATGCTACAGAAATAAGGCAGGCTGCCAGCTCTGTAATAACCCCTTGTCTTCCTTCCCTAATGATCTGCTACCCTCTGTGTGTGAGACAGCAGAACACTGCAGCGTTTTGAAGGGAACAGTGGAAATCCCTCTTTCCAGGATCGTTTCTTGACCCAGCCTCACCTGCTTCCCATGCATGCTCCCCTAGTACCCTGGGCTTAGCTCTGGCTTTCCACCTCCTGGTGTGGTTATCACAGCCTGACTTCTGAGCTTTAGGCTCAGACATTTCATTGCTGTGACTGGGCTCATTCATCTGTGCATTCCAGAGCCTTGCACTTAGTGGGCACTTGGAAGATGGTTGCTGAATAAATGCATGTAGCATGCAAGATTGGAGTACATAAAAAGGAAGGGGTGAGGGTGGTTTCTTAGTAGTTGTGTTAAAAAATGAATGGCAGAAATTCACAGGCATGACTCAGATATATGAAAAGGGGAAGAATTTGCTTTTGTTCTTATAAGATCTCTTCCCTGCATGGAAGAACTATGGTCTTTGTGAGAACAATGAGAAATTTGCTGGGCTGGTAGAAGCATCAAGAGTCAGTTACCGTGGTACAGGTAGGGTCAACTTTTTGACAGACAGATCTTCTATTCTTTTGAAGATTTTATTATGAAACAAGTTGAACACATGAAAAGGCATAAATACGGAGATACTGAATATCCATGTATCTTCCACTTAGATTAAGAAACACAGCACTACTGCTGCAGCCAAAGCCTGTTAACCGTTATCTTCATGCAGTGTTTATCATTCTCATATAATCTTTTATACTTTTACATGATATGAATGCCTACATATAATATAGATCCACTTTTGTGTATTTCTTGTTCTATATTTGCAAACTGTGATTTATATTGTTATTCTTAAGCAATTTGGTTTTTTTCCCCAGGATTATCTTTTTGGTATTCAACCACAGTATATGGATTGATACATATCATGCTAGTTAATTTTTACATGTGGCTACTTTATGCTCAGAGTGCTAGTTACTTTTTACTGCTATGTAGTATTCTGATTTATATATCTTGTTAGTGGATATTTGGGTTGCTTTCTTTTTTTTTTCCTTTTATACAATGCCACTGTGAACACTCTTTTTATATGTCCTTGTATACACATGAGAGATTTTCAAGGATGATTAATAGGAGTGGAATTTCTGGGTCATGTGCATCACCTTATTAAATATTGAAAAAAATTATCCCCTGAAGCTCCATTCTTATAAAAATAAATTTTTATCACTTCTATTTTGATATGCCACCTTATATTAATGTTTTAGATATAGTGGATCGAAGATAACATTTCAGTTGAAATGTAAAACACCCCTTTAAGCTTTATCTATGTATTTGGTGCACAGAGCCAAGAAGTCGATTCAAAGTAGATGGAATGGTTATGTTTACCTAAACTCCTAAAGGGAAGGAATTAGGTCATATTCAGTAGGTTGTTCAGCATTTCCTTTTAAATTTTTTATTGAGTTTTAACCAAGGAACATTTCAGATTATTTTTAGGAACTAGGTGGCTCACTGCAGAGCTGTCGTCTGAATATTTGAGTGAGTGAAGAAATGAATGGAACTATAGAACCAAACATAAGAACAAAAAGACACAGTGGAATACAATTAAAACCAAATTGGGCCTGGTGGTGACACACATCCCTGTAATCCCAGCTACGTAGGAGGCTGAGGCAGGAGGATCGTGAGTTCAAAGCCAGGCTCAGCAACTTAGTGAGGCTTTAAGCAACTCAGTGAGGCCCTCTCTCTAATAAAATATAATAAAGGGCCAGAATTGTGGCTTGGTGGCTAAGCATCCCTGGGTTCAATCCATGGTCCAAAACAAAACAAAACAAAACAACAAATTAGTGTCTTTGAGCAGAGGTGTTAAGGAGACAGGCTTGTGGTGGGAAGAAGGTCCCTTGTATTGGTCTGCTATACATGTGGCTGGAGGTCACAATATATGTGACATCTTCTTTCTTCCCACACCCTTGTTTGGTGGCAGGGTGATAACACCATGGCTGTTTCTATCTATTCCTGTATTATGAGTTCAGAACCTCAGCGGCCCAATGTGCTTCTTAAGTATATGGCTTGAGCATCTGCCTCTAATGGCAGGACCTCTGGGAATTGTCCCCGCTAGGTGGGCATGACATCCTAGGGTTTTGCTTGCTATTGTAAAAGACTGGACCCTCTTAAAGTGGGCCCTCGTGGGCTGGCAGATGCTGCTGGGGTATGGTCATGGGCTTTTGTGTGGCACTTTGGCCAGTGCCTGTGGTTGTTCATTTTTGCAGCCGTCTGCCTGGAGAGAACCTCTAATCTGGCTAAGTTCCTTGTGATGTATGGTAGGGATGATTGAGGCATTTATTTACAAATACTTGTGAACTCATGGGACATATGTATTCACTGTTAAGTGTCACTGTAAAAGGCTCCAGAACATTCTCAAAATGGCATAGTAGTGGTTCATTAGGGCTATGTTCTACTTTAGGTATGAACTATCTCCCACAGGCCCCTGTGTTAGACTTGGTCCCCAGACTATGGTGCCACTGGGAGGTGGTGGGACCTTTGAGAGGTGGAGAAGGAAGGTAGGTTATTGGAGGCATGTCCTTCAAGGCTCTTTGTTTCCTGGATGTCATGATTTACTGTGCCACCAGAGGTCCAGAGCAACAGGGGCCAGTGGCCACGGGCTGAAGTTTTCAAAACTATGAGCCCAAATAAATCCTTCCTCCTATAAGTTTGTTATCTTAGGTGTTTTGTCACCGAAACAGAAAGACAGCATAGGCTGCATAACAAAGTGTCCCAGAATGGGTGGCTTAATCAGATATTTATCATCTCCCAATTCTGGAGGCTGCAAGTCCAAGACCAAGGTGCTGACGGGGCTGGTTTCCTCTGCGGGCTCTGAGGAAGAGTCTGTCCCAGGCCTCTCTCCCTGGATTGTGGATGGTCATCTTCTCCACATGTTTTCATACCACTTTTCTCCACATGTCACCTCAGTGTCCAAATTTTCACTTTTTATAAGGACCCTGATCCTATTGGATTAGGGCCCACACTAACGACCTCATTTAACTTGATTGCCTCTGTAAAGATTCAATGCCATAAGGTCACATTCTGGGCTCTGAGGGTGAGAACTTCAACCTAAGTGTTTTGGGGACATACTTCAACCCATGACAATAGCAGCACAGCACGGGAGTATGTGGTTGTGGGATTTTCAGTCACTAGGGAAGTGGTTATTCTAGTCACTTTCGAACTTTGGCACATTCTTTTTGACAGATGCAGGAGCACATTCTCCATTTGTTACCACAGCCTTGGTCTAGTACAGTGAGCTTATTTACTTGCTAACTTCTAGGAAGTTCATTTCAGAAACCAGTTTAAAAGGTTCGTCTCTGAAATTTTATTTTATTTTTTTTTTAAATTTTTTATTGTTGGCTGTTCAAAACATTACATAGTTCTTGATATATCATATTTCACAATTTGATTCAAGTGGGTTATGAGCTCCCATTTTTACCCCATATACAGATTGCAGAATCACATCAGTTACACATCCATTGATTTACATATTGCCATACTAGTGTCTGTTGTATTCTGCTGCCTTTCCTATCCTCTACTATCCCCCCTCCCCTCCCCTCCCCTCCCCTCTTCTCTCTCTGCCCCCTCTACTGACATTCGTTTGTCCCCCTTGTATTATTTTTCCCCTTCCCCTCACTTCCTCTTGTATGTACTTTTGTATAACTCTGAGGGTCTCCTTCCATTTCCATGCATTTTCCCTTCTCTCTCCCTTTCCCTCCCACCTCTCATCCCTGTTTAATGTTGATCTTCTTCTCATGCTCTTCGACCCTACTCTGTTCTTAGTTACTCTCCTTATATCAAAGAAGACATTTGGCATTTGTTTTTTAGGGATTGGCTAGCTTCACTTAGCATAATCTGCTCTAATGCCATCCATTTCCCTGTAAATTCTATGATTTTGTCATTTTTTAATGCAGAGTAATACTCCATTGTGTATAAATGCCACATTTTTTTTATCCATTCATCCATTGAAGGGCATCTAGGTTGGTTCCACAGTCTAGCTATTGTGAATTGTGCTGCTATGAACATCGATGTAGCAGTGTCCCTGTAGCATGCTCTTTTTAGGTCTTTAGGGAATAGACCGAGAAGGGGAATAGCTGGGTCAAATGGTGGCTCCATTCCCAGCTTTCCAAGAAATCTCCATACTGCTTTCTGAAATTTTATATAAATAGATTTCCCCTGCTGAGAGTTCATTGCCTGGAAGGATTATTTTGTAGTTGATGCTGGGTTTTTTCCCCCTTACTTATTTTCAAGTTTATTTCAAACATTGTTTTAAAATACCTGAAAAAAAAATTTTTTTTTTTTGGTTCTAGACTTAAAAGAAATTGTATTTGTCATCCAGAGCCAAAGTAATTCTTTTCATGCAAAGAAAGCAGAGCAATTGAAAAAGATCATCTTAAAAGAGGCTGCAAATCTTACACAGGTATGTGGAGATGGTTTGGAGTGTCTAATTATATATTTCTTCATATATTTTATGTTTTCCCAAACACCAAATCTGTAGAAAATCAGTTTTATTTAGATGAGAGTAACTCATCTGACTCATTTGGCTTATTTAATATTGACTCTTTGTTGTTGAAAATGCTCTCCTTAATTCCTAATGCTCAAAGCATCATATACTAAATTATTGTGCATGTGTGTATAATATTTATATATGTATTTAACCTAGAATTATACAATCGTGTAGGGCTTTGTATGGCTTTGCCATGAAGTCTAATAAAACAAAGTAGAAGAAATGACTTTTTAAAGGCAGGACTTAAAATAGAGATAATTATTATTCAGAATTTTGGTAACAAGTTCTAAAGGCAATTTTCATGTTGAAATAACATTTTCATTAATCTTAGTGTGGTGCTCTCTCTGTGAGCCTCTTAATCTGTTTTTTAATTGGATGTCATTAATTGAACTTTGATTTGATTTATAATGTAATATCCCAGAAGGATTATGGAGAGGAAAATCTATACATACAGGTACATTTTAATGACATTTAAAATAGACATGAGCTGAATCTAAAGTTGCTATGAATAATGGTGAGGTTTGACACAAAGGAAGATCTACTTTCTTGTACAGGAGTCCCCCTTTATTTGTGGGAATGTGTTCCAAGACCCCCAGTGGATGCCTGAAACTGCAAATAGTACCAAATTATATACTATATTTTCCCTTTATATACATATTTAGGATGAAGTTTAGTTTGTAAATTAGGCACAGTAAGAAAATTAACAACAAAAACTAACAATAAAATAGAATAATTACAGCAATGCACTGTAATAATATTGTCAGCACCACTGTTGTTTTAAATTGTGCACCATTTTGAGTAGCATGATGAAATCTTGGACTATTTTGCTTAGTCCTCCTAGGACATGAACCATCCCTTTGTCCAGTGTGTCCTTGCTATATATGCTACCTGCTCACTAGTCACTTAATAGTTATTAAGTAAAGTAAAGGTTACTTGAACACAAACACTATAATTCCACAGCAGTCAGTCTGATAACTAAGTTGACTATTGTGACTAGTGGGTGGGTAGCATATAAAGCAAGGATATACTGGACAAAGGAATGATTCATGTCCTAGGAAGGACTCAGGAAGACAGCCCAAGATTTCATCATACTACTCAAAATGGTGCACAATTTAAAACTTCAAGAATTGTTTTTTTTTATGGAGTTTTTCATGTAACATTTTAAAATTGTGGTTGATCTCCAGTAATTTAGATCATAGATAAAGGGGGATTTGTGTATTGCTGTATATGTGCTTTCTTCTTTAACCAAGTGAAAAAAAAAAAAACTTCCTTCAGGACCTTTGCACCAGATTGCTAGGCCTTCAAGACAGTATATTTGTCTGTATTCAAATGCTGTTTCTTAGTTTTCTTAAGAAAGAACTTTTTTGACAAGAGACATGTATGTTTGACTGATTGCTTTCTTCTCTTGGTGGGGGCTGGAAAATAAAGGGTCAGAAATATCAATGGAGTTAAGCATCCTTAACAATATTTGAGACAAAGACATTGCTGAGAGTAAGGTTTACTGTATTTTGTCTTTAAATGATTGACATAAACTTCAAAAACCTCTCAGCATCCCTACAAGAGCAAGCTCTCTAGGTTGCCCCATTTGGAACATTATAATTTCTCAGGGAGAGAAAAGAATTACATGCTTTTGACAGATTATTGTTTTTGGTAATCAGAGATTAGATGAGCCTCATAGGTTTAAAATTCATCTTTGTCCAGAAACCTAACTTTTATTTATTTATTTTTTAAACTGGGTCTTCCTGATCTCGTGAGAGGGGCAGACATACAGCAACCTTGACTAGCTAAGGTCCATCAGTTCTGGTGGAGGCACTAGGGGGTGGCCAAATGCAGGCTGCTGCAAAGAGAGGAGCACCAGTATCCTGAATAGTCCTTCCGTTGTGTCCAGACAAACTTGAACTGGATCTAGCTTCACTGGACCTTGGCCACTAACCTAAATCATGTGACCACAATTACACAATATTGGCAGGTCAGTGTACAGTTAGGCATCGCTTACTCATATATGAATTAAGGGTACCCTTTTTCCTGTGTGCCTGCCTGTTCTCAGAAATGCCTTCCATCTTGCAGAGAAAGACTCGTGTGTGGATTATGTGTCATCCCCATGTATTTAACCCACAGGAGTAACTTTTGCCATTAATGTGGATAATAACATTCTTTGCCAACAAAATCTAGTTGGTTGAATTTACCCCCATACTTTCTCTGCTATTTGTCTACTCTTATTTTTCTTCTTTTGTGTAGATGAGTACACATCATTGACTCTCCTACCTTTCCCCTTCACTCATCTGGGAAGCTTAGTTTACAGGGCACCTTGGAGCAGAACAATGTTCCTGAGACTTGGTCTGCGGTGGGGATAAGGCATGAGAGTACTTTTTGGTGGGAAGTAATAGAAATTATATAAAAAATTATACAAAGAAAATTCTTTCTTTTTTTTCTCATTAGGACAAAAGAGACTTGGGAGGGTCATTCTAGGGGCTGGATGTGCCTACCCTTCTTTGGAGGCTCTGCAAAAAGTAGGGCCTAGAGGTGCAAGATTGCTGGGTGATTAAAACTGACCATAGACCCTGTGGAAGGGTGGTTAAGGTTCTCATTGAAACAGAACATGACAAATTTTTATTTAGGAATTAAAAATGTGTGTTGGCTGGAGCTTCTTGGTGTCTCCCAGTGTTTTATTTTGTTAGTTTTTTGGTACTGGGGATTAACCCAGGGCCTAGTGCATGCTAAACACATGCTCTACCAATGAGCTTCATTCCCAGCCCCTTCCAGGATGGCAGGCAGCTGAGAGGGAGTGGATCCAGCAGAGTGGAGGAAGGCTTCCATGTTTCTTCCCCTTTGCCTGGGTAATTATACCAAAGCTTATTGACTGATGTTTCTGCCCCTGGATCCCAGCATTGTCTCCTGTCACTCAATTCTTTGAGCTTTGCTTCTCAGCAATTTCAAACTTCTTCTGGTCACCTTGCGGTGCCTCTGTGGCTCTGCAGGAGTTGAGCTTATCTTCCTCCATATCCCCAGGAGGCCTTTCTGTGTCCCTTCCTGACCCTCCCTTGCATAGCACTTTCTCTGTGGTCCCGCTTCTGTATCTTGTACAAATTCTTTCGTGTACTTTTCACTTTGTATTATTGCTTGTTACCATTTTATCTTTCCTACAAATTTTGAGAGCAGAGAAAAGAATGTGTCTTATTAAGTTTTTGATTTCTCAGAACCAAGCGCAGTGTGTGTACTTAGCCTGAGTTTTCGGTGAATGTTAATTGAATTGCATCCCGAAATTCATTATCTCTTCTTTCTCAGAGCTGCTTTCTTTTCTATTGTAATAGGAGTTCCTTTTCACTTCTCTTCCAGACAGCATAGATACCTTTGGTCATGCACAGGCATACACATGCACCCAGGTGTACACACACACACACACACACACACACACGCATGCACACATATTGCATTAAGTCACAGGTTCTCTGAAGGCAGATGCTTCTTTGGATCTCTTCACAGCACTTTAGACAAAGGAAGTATCTAATATATGGTAGTCAAATTGCAAAAATTGTTTAAACACAGACAACATAAAAATGGTTTAAGGAAGGTAGAAGATTTACTTCCCCTCCCAAACAGCCCAGTCAGTGGTCAGGCTAGGGTAGGAGGCTCTACTCCAGGTTTCTTGCTGCAGGTTTCTTGGATATCTTGTCCTTGTCCACCCTGCAGTGTGTGGAGGACAAGGATGAGGACCTTGAAGTTATATATGTCCCCTTTCCTTATGTACCACTGTCCAGAACATGATCAGATAGGCATACCAAGGCTGAGAAACGCAAGGTCTGGTTTAGTGGCCTTGGGTCCAGCCAGAACTCAGGGGGTCTAACCATTAAAAGGAAGATGGTAGGATGGGTCCTGGGGAACAAACTGATGTCTCTGTTAAATTTAGGATTTTTTTTTACACCTCAGGGACTCGCCTAGTCTGTAGAAGAATTTATCTATGCATATCTCATCATTCAGTATTTACAGATTTACTATGGGCAAAGTACTGGGAAGATGAAGATCAGGAAGATAAAGTCCAGGAGAGGAGACAGGCCCGTCAGCAGGCAATCTTACAGCAACGTGGGAGTGCCGTGATGGAAGAGTGCATAAAAGAGGGGTCCCCATCATGGCTGGGAGGGGAAGTGGGCAGCTAAAGAGGAGATACAGGGCTTAAGGAGGGACTTGTGAAAGCCAAGTCCTGCATATCAGGCTCCAGTTAGGTTGAGGTCAGGGATGGGAGGGGAGGCCAGCAGGTAGGACAGCCAGGTGAGAGGTGTGGAATGTGAGGGCCTGCCATTCTGAGAGGGTATCAGCTGGGATTCAGCCATATGGGAAGCCAGCCTGGGAAGGGAGATGGAGACATGGTCACAAGGAACTGTAGGTACCTGGGGAGCCAGGCCTTACTCAGGGCTTCTTAGGGGGCACTATTGGCATTTTGAGGACCATCCCTTTGATGTGTGAGATGTTTGGTGTCTCTGGCTCCTGGTATCCTCCAATCACTGTTATAGCTAGAGTGACCCCTGGTTGAAGCTTCCTGCTAGAGAGGTCCGTTGGGAGTAGACCTGGTTGGATATGTGTCTTAAGCCCAGCCTCCATTAACTGTGGGACAATGGTGTTAGGAGAGCCAAGACCAGGGTAGGGGCTTCACTCTGAGGCCGTCAGATTATCCTGGGGCAGGGCTGCTCAGGGGCATGGCCCATGCTGCTGGGCCTTCACCACAGCCAGTGGGGAAGCACTGGATCTGGACAGGAGTGACATGGAGGTTCATGGGCCAGATGGTAGGATTTAGGCATGGGCTGAGGAGAAGGAAGGATCACTCCCAGCTAGGACTCAGGTGAGGTAGTGCTGCTAAGTGAGGCTGAGGATGGCTCTTTGCAGGTTCAGTGGGGGAAGCTGACTGTGTGTTTGCAGAG